CTGGGGCTCACCTGTCATCACTGATTTTAATTCTGACTTTGCAATTTAATAGTTAATTCTTCTGTCAAGTGTTATAGAAGGTCAGCATTGGTACCACCGATGACAGTTAAACTTTACGTGAATTTTTATATCAGAATCCAATCTATTATTATTATTATTATTAGTCTAAACACGGCCAAATACGGGCAAGATTTAAAAAGGTGTTTTAAATTTCATTCTTAATAAAAAATTAATTAGAAGTAGTGTCCAAAGTGAGTATTTTTCTCTAAAAATTTTTTTCAAATGCCCGAAATCACTATATCTAATTTTATATATTTTATCCATTTTAAATATTACTCAACAGCACCGGAACCATACACCACTTTGAAATCCGGCGCCTAAGTTTGTTTGTGCACACGCAAGATCGTACTTAATCGTGACCGTGTACTTTCCGGCAGCGCTAAATTGCTTTATGCTTTATGTTGCTACGCAAGCAGCAAATGTAAGACCGCTTTCAGACACGTCAAGTCTTGCTTTCAAGTCTGCTCGGTTCGTAGGAGGTAAGAAGAGAGGGGAAAAGTACATTCGTCTCATCTCCTTCGTCTACGAACGAGCAGACTTGAAATCAAGATTTGTCGTGTCTGAAAGGGGTCTAATAACAGGGAACTAAATATGTACATAAGGTACGGTGACCATATTAACCAACGTAAAATAAAGGAAATTTTTTTTTTTAATGATAAAAGTACCTTTACCCATATCGTAATTTAAATCAAACATTTACTAGTACATTATATTATCTAATTGTACAAGTTTCCCTTATTTAAAGGTGTTTAACCGATTCCGAAAAATTAAACCCTNCCTTTACCCATATCGTAATTTAAATCAAACATTTACTAGTACATTATATTTTCTAATTGTACAAGTTTCCCTTATTTAAAGGTGTTTAACCGATTCCGAAAAATTAAACCCAATCCTTTTCAACGACTACGCCATCCCTTGGTGCCAAAATGCGTTTCTCATAATTCATACAAATTGCCGAAGCCAGCACACAGTGGTTTAATATTGGAATTTAATGTTCGTAATTCAGTAGAGCCTTTATTTTTGAACCAATTCCACTATTTTTTTTTTTTTTTATGAAAGCTTATAAATCAAGTAAGAGACCAGTTGAGCACGAATTTTGAAAGTGCAGAAAAAGTAGTAATTTTGAAGAATATCGATTCTCCTGTTCCAGTTAATAACTGTTCCATAATAAAACCTAATTGAAAACAATTGTAGGGTTCCTCCAAAATGAAGAATAATTTCACAAGAAAAATTTGAAGTGTTATGAAAATAATTTCATTAAAGGTAAAAAAAAAATAGTTTTTTACAAAAATTTTGAGTATGCAGTTTTATAGACCATTAAATTGTAGTATAATAAATGCAAGCTGCAAGTGATTAAGAGAATGCGTTAATAATTTTTTTTTGCTAACACTTCGAGCACATCTGCATGCGAAATGANAAAATGCGTTTCTCATAATTCATACAAATTGCCGAAGCCAGCACACAGTGGTTTAATATTGGAATTTAATGTTCGTAATTCAGTAGAGCCTTTATTTTTGAACCAATTCCACTATTTTTTTTTTTTTTTATGAAAGCTTATAAATCAAGTAAGAGACCAGTTGAGCACGAATTTTGAAAGTGCAGAAAAAGTAGTAATTTTGAAGAATATCGATTCTCCTGTTCCAGTTAATAACTGTTCCATAATAAAACCTAATTGAAAACAATTGTAGGGTTCCTCCAAAATGAAGAATAATTTCACAAGAAAAATTTTAAGTGTTATGAAAATAATTTCATTAAAGGTAAAAAAAAAATAGTTTTTTAGAAAAATTTTGAGTATGCAGTTTTATGGACCATTAAATTGTAGTATAATAAATGCAAGCTGCAAGTGATTAAGAGAATGCGTTGATTTTTAATAATTTTTTTTTTGCTAACACTTCGAGCACATCTGCATGCGAAATGGGAAATAAATGCGTTTGTTTTATTATTAAAAATCAACGGGAACTCTTAGACACTTGCACCTTGCTATTTATTATAATAAAATTTAAAGATCTATTAAACTGCATATCCAAATTTTTACTAAAAAAATTAATTTTGCTGAAAATTTTTTATACAATTTTTAATTTTTTTGTGTGACTTTTTTCGTTTTGGGAGAACCAAACAATTGGTTTCAACTGGTTTTTATTATGTAACATTTATTAATTGGAAAGTATAATACATTTTTTTCAAAATTGCAACTTTTTTTTGCATTTTGCACTAAAAATTTNCATATCCAAATTTTTACTAAAAAAATTAATTTTGCTGAAAATTTTTTATAAAATTTTTAATTTTTTTGTGTGACTTTTTTTTTGTTTTGGGAGAACCAAACAATTGGTTTCAACTGGTTTTTATTATGTAACATTTATTAATTGGAAAGTAGAATAAATTTTTTTCAAAATTGCTACTTTTTTTTGCATTTTGCACTAAAATTAAAAAAAAAAAAATCACAAATCAGGCTCACCTAAACACGCAAACTTTATAAGCTTTCATTAAAACAAACAAAAAAAAACAGATGAATTATGAACACTATAACTCAGCGTGCAACAAGTACTGTGCCCAACTTTACCTTTTCTTTTAAGAATTTTACTTAAAGAATGTATATTAATTTTTCTATCAGTATTAGCAGTGATTCGTGATTTATAGATTGTACAAAGATTACCGATGAAATAGCAACCCTTAAGAGAGGTGCGAAACTAACTGCCGAAGGTTTTCATTCTATTTTATAAGGGGCATTTTTATTATTTTATATTCTCTATTCAAAACTGTACCTCTGAAAAATTTAGTGCTGATTTAAAGGACAGTTTAAGAAATAAAGCACAAAATGCGTCCTTTATTTTGAAAAAAAAAATTATAAAGGAGAGAGGGTTAAAATAAAGGACGGATGGTCACCGTAACATAAGGAAATATTTATATACATACAAATTTTAAATATAATGCGCCTAGCAACTTATACTACATCCCTTTAAAGCCAAACCAGTCAGTAAAAATTTAGCGAACTCAAGTTTGGTTTATTAACTGGTATGAGCTTGTGAGGCGTCCTCACAGTTCCACAAATTCCAATAAAGAAATGTAGTCAATTGGTTTTCAGGTGAAATTTCGGCTGCGACATATGGTTTTGAGACCACCGCATTGAGTTCACTTGGAAATGTGAAGATTTTTTATACTTAAAAAATATAAATTATAAATTAAAAAATTTTAATTCAAAAAATCAAGTAAAAAAAATTTAATTTATCACTTTTTAATCTGTTGTAAAAGTATGTACGTATGTCACACTTAAAAGAATGGACTTCTGGTCTGTAACCCACTTCCGGTTCAAACTGGCATCCCCAACGTCGTAATTCACATTTGCCTCGATTTTAGAAAGGGATGTCTAGAATACCCAGTCTACAAGGATACAACAGAAAATTTCATGAAATAATAAGAAAATGTATTTTAACTTAAGACTAATATTTTAACCACCTTCCGAAGACTAGTATAAAAACGAGCTAGAAGATGAACCAGTTGAGCTTTATAGCAAACTAGTAGCTTTCTCTAGAGGGCTATTGCAAATTTCATTGTTGTGCCTTCAGCAGCGCTCGTGAGGAAAATGCGTATGCATTTGAATGGCGAGTTATTATGTGCATCAGTTTATTTATACTCGTATGTATGGACGTATGTATTTAAGCGTTTCCCCGTTCATTTCCTGCCATTGTTTCGCATTTCCTCATCACTCTTCGCATGAGTTTGACTTAAAATGTTGCTGCTGTTGTTGCGAAAAGAAACAAATGTGCATGCTGCGATTATGCGATAATCGTATGTGAACACATACAGTGACTCGACGTAATTGATCACGCTTTCAATGCAAATTTAACAAATGTAGACTTTTTTACCGCAAATCAATTATGAAGACGTTCTGTGAGTATTATCTTGCGTAAGAGAATAAGGTGTGATTATATTATACATAGTTCTGGCTTACAGCCGATACGTTGCGCTAATATGGTTGATGGGGCGCAGCAGCCTTCATGAAGCGAAATGGTCCACAAACCAATCCGAAACTAGCCATTAATATTTCAGTAGGTGAACAGATTATTGTAGCTCTGAGATACATACATTACCTTTCAGCACAGAAAAAACGTGGCTAGATCTTTCACGAAGAATAGCTCATCGTCTGTTGGACGTGTCAAGCTCTTTGACTATCTCCTCATATCGGTCATAACAATAAGCTCTTAAATGCACCGATTTGGTCTGATAACGGAGACGGAATGCTCTCTGTTTTTGTTTTTTTTTTTTTTCATTTGAAGGCGGGGAGTCATCGAAGTACATTCTGTGCCATTCACCAGCGTTGCAGCAATTGAGGTTGTGCACAGAAAAAGTTTTTATAATTATGAGTTTGTCTACCAAGAATGTGTCAGCTATGATTATGGAAGCTGAGTGTCCGCGCTGGGGGCATATCTGGGTTTTAAGTTACAATGTCCTTTTCTGCTACAAAAAATTTATAAACTTACTAGCTCGGCAGTAACTAAAGAAAACATTACGCTCTCGTGATTAGATTAGCAATGCATTGAACATCTATGTATATGTATTTATATAGCTTGGAAAGTGAAAGGTTGATATATTAAATGAGACACTGTACCTACACAAGTACTGTAACTCAAACAGATGACCACGTGTTGATTTTCTTTCAATATTCGTTATGTTTTTCGACCTAAGTTTTTTTTTATATAAATATATCGTCTCAGCTTTAACCAAACCCGTATAAATCACAAAACAAACTTTATACAAAATTTAGGAAAATTCAACAAATTTTCATCAAAACTTCAAATTTTTATTATGAATTTTTGGAAAATTTTTGGGTATGCAGTTTTATAGCCCAACAATTTTAATTTAATGAAAAGCAAGTTTCAAACGTCTAAAATTCGCGTCGTTTTTTGAGATTTTTTTTTTTTTGTGACGGATTTTGGCCTTTTTTCATACAAGTACGAATTTTTTATAAAATAAAACGCGGGAGACTGTCAGCAACAAAATTTCAAAATATGAACGCAAGTTTTTGTAAATTGCGCTTGTTCTATTAAAAAACCCGAACATTTTTGATGAAAACTTTAGCTGGAAAAATATTGCGAATACACATTAAAAAAAAAACTCGTGGTCATTTGTTTATGTCACTGTATGTTAGTATATATGTACATATGTAAGTTAGACCTGGTCGGTCTCTATACGAAAAAAAACGTTTGTAATTATCCTTTCTCTCGAAGTTTGAAAGCCTTTTTGAGAGGATTTCGAGGATATCCGAGTCCGAACTCCTTTTTTTTTTAGAAAAGGAAGTAATTAAGGTAAAAAAGAAATTAAAGGATATATAGTACTTAAAGTTGTTTTATCAACAATGTCGCACTAATAGTGTTGCTACATACAAAAAAAAAAAAGTTTTTAAAAAAAATTCGCACTTGACTGTATTTAGAACTCGGCAAGTACGACAAGTTGTATGAGCTGAAGTTCTCTTTTTTTATAAGCTTTGAAACTATATAGTCTAATTACAAACGCTTTTTCGCGACCCAGTCTAATGCACATACGTACGTAGAAGCATGTTTCTGCATACGAATACCGCAACCAGCACGCGTAATTAAGCCGTTGTTAATATTGCATTTTAATTGCGTTTTCCACAATCACTACCCCTTGGGGTGCACAGAAGCACTTGGTAAGAGGAAACTTTTTAAGAGAGGGGCATGAGTGTATTTTAACAGATCATTGGTGGCATAAGCAAGTGTAATATTTTCATTTCCACATAGTAGTTTATGTGGAATCTTTAGAGACAAGAAAAGAGAGAGGAGCTAAGCATTCGCAGAGATGAAATAGCAACTAGGCAAGTCGCTGCAATACTTAAAAATACAAAGGCAGAGTTCTTTAGCCTCTCTTTGCATACCCCTTTAAGTTGCGCTCGCCCACATACCCACCCTCACCGCTCTTATACGAGGACTGCAGCGCGCAGCCAAGATTTCATAAGGTCCAGCATGTCAGTGTCTCAGTATAGTGATTACATAGTACATATGCACATACGTGTGTATATATGTAAGTGTGCATATGTTTATTCAATGCCACTTCCCCTTCCATTGTTTTCATTGCGCATTTGCTTTGTGCATTTATTGTTCCAGTCGACTTTGAAGGCGGATGCAGTAGCGCATGAGGATAAACACGCACGCTATTGTGTGTGGCTGTGTTCGTTGGTTTATGCATTTATTTGCATTGTAGTTGTACGTGTTGACATTATATATTGCTTCCTGTTGCCCGCCATAATGAGTCAATGAGTTAAGGACGCTCGAGGCAGTGTATCCATACGAAAATTAACTGGTTGTGCATTTCCATGCCTGGATCTGCAGGGATAAAGGGTGGGCGGCAGGCAGCATTCGTATGAGTGTATAGAGTGGTAGCGTAAAAAGAGCTTGCAGCCGCAATGATTGCGTAATAGCAGGTTAATTGTGCTGAGGGTTATCGCAATGTTTGACAAAGAGAAACCAATGAGCAATCATTAAATTAACACAATTCGAGTGAGAAATAAACAACAAAGTGTTATTGTTATTTAACAATGGACGAATACTTTGTTCACGAGTATCACTTCATGGGTTTTTCAAAGTAAGTAAGTATGTACCTAAAGCATACTACTTGGTTTGAAGAATTTATCGTTAATAGTTAATTATACTTGGTGGCCTTGAAGGAAATTCATTACTAAATACTTATGTGTTAAAATCTGACATGGCGGTCGTAAGTACGCTCGAAGTGCTCAAAGATGAAATCCTTAGATGCCTCGTTCTTCTCTTCAGTCGGAGCATGAGCGCGAATGAGCGAGTCGTTGAAGAATCCCGCTTGGTCCGACCCAAAACCGAATTTTCGCTTCTTTACGTCGCAGCTAGAGTAGGCGTCGTAAGGCGCCACGTTTTCCGGGGAGAAAGTTAAGCTTAGTGCAGGGAATAAACGTGAAGTTCGGAGTAGATAGCCGTTTAACTTCGAACAGAGATCATCGATTCCATTGCCCGACGTAAATATCGAACACACGCCAGTATGTGAGATCAGGGCAACTGCGCCCCGTTGCTTAAGAAGCCTCGAGGCGAAAATGTTAAACAACAGAGAGAACACAAACTTGTGGGACCCGTTGCTTAGTCTCTTCCTGTTTGGATGTTTAATCTCAGGAGGTTACTGACGACTGCCGACACTCTGATAATTAGCCGACCGCTGTTCGAGTATCAGTGGAATAGAGGAGACCTTCATGTCTTAAAGGCTTTGAGAGGACTAACGCTACTAGGACTGTTCCATCATAGGTGCGTTTGTTGTTGCCGCCGCAAGGTATCTGGGTATTTTTGACGAGTATTTTGGTCTGCCTATTAGTGAGTTACTGAGGTTATTGTTCTTGCAATGGTGGTTGAGACTGGGATCTCACAGGCGACGGAATGAGCGATGGGACGAGGGAGGTTTCCAATTTGAACAGCTTGACACAAAAATATTATGTAAGAAATAATGGAATGTGGTTAAGTTAAGAGTTGCATTTCATGGTGGGATTAACAAGTACCTGCGTGCGGTTTGAGGTGTAGGAGGGCGATTGTGTGACTAAATAATCCTCTCTGTCAACTACTGGACCGACTGAGATCTGGTAGGTAGTACTCTTACAGTTCTGTTGGAGGCTATTCGCAGTAGAAGCTAACGCCACCAATTTTTGCGAGCAACATACGCCCATATAAAAACTTTTTTTCATTTGTTAACTTTTCTCGATAACTGCTAAGTCATAAACCACTTACGAGCCAGGCATATCCGCACATCAGATCTCCTTTAATAGCCGTATTTGAATAACAGACAAACATATTGTTGAATCAAGTGAAAAATATTCACACGCGCAGTTAAAATTTCTTTTTTACCATATAAATAGTGGAGTCGGTAAACTACAACAAAATGCCAACATATTGCAATAATAACAGCAAAGTTCGTTCAATTTAACAAAACGTAAGTATGTATGGTATGTGTGCTGTGCCACTAAATGGAAAACTGCATACACTTTCAAACAAATTTGTAAAAGTTGTGATAACACCGTAATAAAAACGAATTGTAATTGCCTGAAAACATACCAACACAAAAAAAAACAAATTCTTCATAACGAAGTTATAATACGAAAAATTTTAATGTGCAGGACAAGGCTTTCAACAACAACAACAAAACCAAATCGGAGTTTAAAAAACATTTTTAAAACAACCATGTTCTGCATTGGGCGCAGAAGATAACGAACAAAGGGAAAATTGGTAGAAAAAAAAACTTGTGCGACACACTAGGTGTTTGCACAACTTGTTAATTGATGTAATTTGGCTGCAAACTGTGCAGCAATGCCCAAAATATTGGTACAACTTTTAGCCCGAAATATATCGTATCGTCGTTTAAAGTACAAAAAAAACCTAATCTTCGTGTTGAGGTGAGGTGAGGTAAGGTGAGCTTAAGGGAGGCGAGATGAGGTGAGGTGAGATGGGGTGAGGTGAGGTTAGGTGGGATGGTAAGTTCAGTTGAGGTGAGGTGAGGTGAATTCAGATGAGTTAAATCCTTGTTTTCATCTTTGACTTTGTCTTCGGCTTTGCCATTGCCTTCGTATTGTTTATTTTTTTTATTTTGTTTTTCATTCCAATCACATTGTTTATCTTACTTTAATCTTATACAGAATTTTCATCTTCAACTTCCTCTTCAGCTTCATCTTCATCGTCATATTCACCTTCATCTATCTCTTCATCTCTATCTTCTTCTTCATCTTCTACTCAATCTCAATTTTAGTATTTTTTGTTAACCACATTGTAATAATTGACTTTACCTACGTGTTATATAAATCAATGGGAAAAATTAAAAAAAAAACTTAAATCATATTGCACATCTATAGGGCAAGCCCTTTAGTGTGACAACTCTGATGACGTCATCTTAAATTTTAACAAAAGCATTAACCAGGGATCAAGACTTTGGTTTGCCAAGTGGAAGTACGGACCTCTATCCACTCTCCAAGTTATTTCTGCTTTCTACAAATACAGTTTTCGTAAGTCCGCTAGAGTATAATCAAAACATTTTAATGATTGGTTTTAACGTATTTTCCGTTACTTCAATGTGTAAGCTTTTGGCCCTATTATATTAAATAAAAGTATACTGAAAAGTAAAGAAAAAGTCTGGCAACCCTAGTGTACATACAATGAATGACTTCAATGAATTTATGTCTAAAAAGAAGAAAAAAACTTTCAATTCTAGATTTTGAATACAAAATTTGTCTGATATCTTTTTGAGCAGAAAATAACCATTTACTTTTGTTTGCTTTTATTTTTTTATGGATAGTTAATAAAATTAAATGCTTCCGGATTCAAGATTTTTCATGTTTTTTAATCGATATTTTTCGACACAACGGGGTTTTTTCCCAAAGCATTTCCTGATTTTCTCGAGATTTTTTCGGGTACTTTTACATATTTTTACCTTTCAGGACTCATTGTATTTTATATTTTTCGGGGTTTTAGCAACCATCAAGTGATTAATTACACTCAAATCTAAACTTTGATTGTTATGAAGCGCAAAAAAGTAAGGTGTCAAAAATAATGGATATTTTTTGCTAGTGCTTTAGCTTTTCATTATAAAATACATACAAGTACTTATAGCCAGTTTCACGAAAGCAAATTAAGTGATTTTTTTATCTTTAAATTTAATATGAAAACAAAAAAAAAAGTAAAAAATCATTTTTGCTGTTGAAACCTCTAGTTAGTAGGATTGCCACTTTCAGTAAACGCAAAAAAAAACGTCACCAACGTTCTATCAAAAACAGGCCTCGCAACTGCATGACACTTTTTATGGGATTTGGACGAAATTTTCAAAAGCAAACTGTAAAGCCAGCTTATAAAACACTGTACAATGAGTGCTAGGCAAAAAGTGTTGCCTGGAAAACACGATTAAATTTCACCAAAAAAAAAGGTCTCGAAACAAGCATGTAAAGTGGTTCACTCAAAAACCATGCAATATTTCTACAAGCACAACTAAAAAAAAATCTACAGCTGTAAACACCTACTTTGACAAGTCAAAAAAAAAACTCTAAGCTAAAAAGTACTTGCGTACAACGACAAAAAGGCTTTAACTTTTAACAGTTTTTACTTTTTGCCTTTGCGGTTTTTGCGGTTGCATATCATTACGCTCGGCAGTGAGCAATCTCTCATAGCATGCTATAGCTACATACAAACTGGTCTTCAACTTCGTCAACAGTGATAACACTTTTCTGATACAATTTCATGCATTTCTGCTAATGAGCAGTTTAGAAGTTGCAGAGCAAGTCAGTCGACCATCGACAAGTGGCACTCGCTGGCTTTGGTCGAAAAGATGACTACAGCAAACAACAATTGAAAGTTATGCATATAGGCACAAGTCAAATGCAGAGAAAACACGCACACGCTTAGCATTAACAACAACACATACGCATACATACGTATGTATGTATGAGCTGAGTTCAGTATGTACTCACCTAATACTGTCGCAATTAATGCGAGTCCACCGTGTCGTATGATGAAAATGCGAAAGTTTATTACCCACAATTGGAAAAGTTTTATACGTAATTAAAAGTTCCAAAATCGCTTCGAAGCATGTGGATCTTATTTGAAATTGCTCCTGTTCGTCCACCATATTCTCATCGTAAACTTTATTGATTAACAGCAAGAATGTCATAAAGTACTCCTCGAATTGTTGCCTTGTGGTAAAGCCAAAAATTGATAATCTGCAAGAAAATAGTATGATGGTTAATTAAGTTGTTTTATAAATGTTTGTGGTAAGGTGGTCCTTAAAAATATCAGCCTCTACATTTTGTATGGGCCCCTTTATTTTTTTTTTATAAAGACATCCATGGAAATTAAAAAATTTTAACAAATTTTTAGGAGTCGCTACCGGTTATTTATAGCTAAAGAAAGTCAAAATTTTTTTCGAATTTTCGCGATTTAAAAAAGTCTATCAGGGTTTGACTTTTTTACTATTAAATATTTTTATAGAATTTCGGTGGATGTCTTTATCTTGTACATAGAAGAAAAAAGGGGTGATGTTGATATTTTTTAAGGACTACCCTAATTTATATTTATCTATGTAAGTACATACAGACATTGTATAAATCAATTGGGGAAATAATTGATTCAACTAAGTTTTTGTAAAAGTAATAATTGTTTAGTTAATTATATAAATGAGCCAGCGTGTCAACGAAAATTAGCAAATTTAGTGAAACTTCATTTGAAAACAGATGAGATGAAAAAAGATGAGTAAAATGAATCAGCGCAAAACTAAGGCAAACGAGGAGAACTTGATAAGGACTTCACTTTTGTCCTTGTTAAGGATCATTTGAAAACACACTTACATACATGATGGGGCCTTAGCTGAGGGCGCAGAGATGTTAGCTTTCAGGAGGGACCGGGTTCGAATGCCATTAGGCGGAATATATTATTTTTTATTCGATTTTTTCTTAATTGACTCCTAAGAGCTTCTTCTCTGCCCACTTTCACTCAAGGGAGGATTGGGCCGGGCGAAACTTCTGGAGAGGAGGAATGGTGAACGTTGGGCGTGGGGTCTTCTGTCCAGAGCTTTCTATCAACACTAAGCTCAGGCTCCCGAACTTCTTCAGTGTATTCCAGCCGGAAGAGGCTGCTATCAAGGAGACGGTGGATTCACTGCTCCGGCTATTGAAGCGGCTATCAGAGCCTTGTTGGGGGTGCGCTCTAACTTGGTTATTAGTACTTGGGTTCCGGGTTACAGCGACATAGCGATAAACAATGTGGCTAACGAATTGGCCAGGAAAGGCCCTCAGGTACCATTATCGGCGGATACAGAGCAGCTGGGGCTGCCATTGATCACCTGTGGTACACTCTTGGATAAATGGCCCTCATATCAGCTCAGCGACGGCTGGACGAAAACCAGAATATGTGCGATCGCAAGGTGCTTCTGGCCTAGCGTGGACAAGGGGCGGTCCAGGGCACTACCCACACTAACAAAGCCACCGATCTCACTTTTGCTGCGGGTCCAATCGGTATTCACGCAGTAAGGCTAAGCATACTACCGGGCTCCGTATGTCGCAGTTGCCTAGAAGATGGCATGGAATCACCTAAACAAAACAATACCTTCTTTGGTGCCCAGCGTTTGCGTGGCTAAGGTTGAAGTACTTTGGCTGTTACAACTTCGTAAATACATAATCGGCTCCGGCCGTTTTATCGATGGGTGCCGTTCAGAATGTGGTATCACACAGGATGATCTCCGGTTACATGGGGCTGTCACCTAACCTAACCTAACCTAATTGCGAAAAAGCATCTGTGAAGTGCAGAACTAAATCGTATTTTCAAACAAAAATAAATCCGTTTATAGTAAAAAAGGCCGTTTGGCGCCAAATCATATGTGTTTTAATTTGAAACAAAGCGGATATGGTTTAATTTTTCTCAGCGTATGAACATTTCTCGAAAATGTTCGCTACAATACTAACGTTTTGGATATGCATATGTGTGTATGTATGTAAATGCAGTAGTAGTCCTATAAACTAAAATTCACAATTTAAGTATTTATGTAGATGAATATAGTATTTGAAATTAGAGCAATAATTTTACTTTCGAAATCTAACACGAAACAACAAAATGAATTTATGCATCTATATATCTCATTCAATTCCTTCGAATAACGCACATACCCTTAGTATATGTACATAGATATTCGTCATGTGACTTCCCATTGCTTTGCTTTGCCGCATGTACGCAGTGTCACCAACATTTTGCCAAGCATATCAACTGTCAGTNGTACTAAAAACTGAAAGAAAACATGGCTTACCTCGCAAGGTGCTTACCTATTTTCCCAGTGGGAATTGTTTTGGATATGCATATGTGTGTATGTATGTATGTAAAAGTAGTTTACCTTCCAATAAACTAGAATTCACAATTTAAGTATTTATGTAGATGAATATAGTATTTGAAATTAGAGCAATAATTTTACTTTCGAAATCTAACACGAAACAACAAAATGAATTTATGCATCTATGTATCTCATTCAATTCCTTCGAATAACGCACATACCCTTAGTATATGTACATAGATATTCGTCATGTGACTTCCCATTGCCTTGCTTTGCCGCATGTACGCAGTGTCACCAACATTTTGCCAAGCATATCAACTGTCAGTAGCAGCAGCAGCAAGAAGAGCAACATCATTATCAAAACCTCATATTATTTCGATGAAGATGATGATGATGTTATGGTTATTGTTGTTGCTGCCGAAATGGTTTTGACAACAGCACCAGACAAAACTGGAAACCACACGTTCTGACATCAAAATTAACTCCCGGTAGTGCTTTCATTTCTATTTATGCACGTCCAGTGAGAGCAAAAGCGTCAGCACTGAACTACATACATTTGGTTGGGGTGTTGCTTTCGATACAGTTGTACGATTTTACCGCTGCCACAAAAATTTAATTACAAAATATATCTGTAGTGACTACTACACTTGTACTATAGCTGCGGTGGCGGAGTCGCAAACAAAAGGAGCAAAATAACTGCAATAATTTGCTATGCACGCACGCCGCTGCTANGTTATTGTTGTTGCTGCCGAAATGGTTTTGACAACAGCACCAGACAAAACCAGAAACCACACGTGCTGACATCAAAATTAACTCCCGGTAGTGCTTTCATTTCTATTTATGCACGTCCAGTGAGAGCAAAAGCGTCAGTACTGAATTACATACATTTGGATGGGGTGTTGCTTTCGATACAGTTGTACGATTTTACCGCTGCCACAAAAATTTACTTACAAAAAATATATCTGTCGTCACTACTACACTCGTACTATAGCTGCGGTGGCGGAGTCGCAAACAAAAGGAGCAAAATAACTGCAATAATTTGCTATGCACGCACGCCGCTGCTGTTTGCTATTTGCTTATAAACTCTAGTAAGTTGCTAATTTCTTAACATTTTCTCTCTCGGCGGCTGACGAATTCATACTTTTGGTAATTTTGCAAAATTTAGGCGTGTACGACAGCTTTCTTACGTAGATATACATACATAAATGTGTACTTGTTTTCTGCATTTTCCTCTGTTTGTTGCAATATTATTTGGNCTAGTAGATGACATTGGCCATGATGACAATTTTGGTACTAAAAACTGAAAGAAAACATGGCTTACCTCGCAAGGTGCTTACCTATTTTCCCAGTGGGAATTGTTTTGGATATGCATATGTGTGTATGTATGTATGTAAAAGTAGTTTACCTTCCAATAAACTAGAATTCACAATTTAAGTATTTATGTAGATGAATATAGTATTTGAAATTAGAGCAATAATTTTACTTTCGAAATCTAACACGAAACAACAAAATGAATTTATGCATCTATATATCTCATTCAATTCCTTCGAATAACGCACATACCCTTAGTATATGTACATAGATATTCGTCATGTGACTTCCCATTGCTTTGCTTTGCCGCATGTACGCAGTGTCACCAACATTTTGCCAAGCATATCAACTGTCAGTAGCAGCAGCAGCAAGAAGAGCAACATCATTATCAAAACCTCATATTATTTCGATGAAGATGATGATGATGTTATGGTTATTGTTGTTGCTGCCGAAATGGTTTTGACAACAGCACCAGACAAAACTGGAAACCACACGTTCTGACATCAAAATTAACTCCCGGTAGTGCTTTCATTTCTATTTATGCACGTCCAGTGAGAGCAAAAGCGTCAGCACTGAACTACATACATTTGGTTGGGGTGTTGCTTTCGATACAGTTGTACGATTTTACCGCTGCCACAAAAATTTAATTACAAAATATATCTGTAGTGACTACTACACTTGTACTATAGCTGCGGTGGCGGAGTCGCAAACAAAAGGAGCAAAATAACTGCAATAATTTGCTATGCACGCACGCCGCTGCTATTTGCTATTTGCTTATAAACTCTAGTAAGTTGCTAATTTCTTAACATTTTCTCTCTCGGCGGCTGACGAATTCATACTTTTGGTAATTTTGCAAAATTTAGGCGTGTACGACAGCTTTCTTACGTAGATATACATACATAAATGTGTACTTGTTTTCTGCATTTTCCTCTGTTTGTTGCAATATTATTTGGTTGCATGCGCTAACTTGTGTTGGTGGCATGAAATTGGCAACTTATTGTGGCAAATTCTATGCTCCAAATCTATTACTCAGTTTAACGTACTGCACTTCTGGCTTGTTTCTGTCTTTATTTCCAACATTTAACTGTGTGATACTAGCAGCATTTGTCATCGCAGAGCGAGTGATAATTTGTGAATTTTGTCCGTCTGCGCTGGCGGTCTTACTNGTTGCATGCGCTAACTTGTGTTGGTGGCATGAAATTGGCAACTTATTGTGACAAATTCTATGCTCCAAATCTATTACTCAGTTTAACCTACTGCACTTCTGGCTTGTTTCTGTCTTTATTTCAAACATTTAACTGTGTGATACTAGCAGCATTTGTCATCGCAGAGCGAGTGATAATTTGTGAATTTTGTCCGTCTGTGCTGGCGGTTCGATTTTGAGACCTGAAACACCATTCGAAAGGAGTTTCTTTGTAGATGACGAAAGTTTTTATGGTTCCAAAATTGGTCGGTTCTTCGTATTTTAATTTGTTTCGAAGGCATAAACGAACACGATTACGAGCGAGAAGATGATTCCAGACACGAAATTAATAAGAAGACTAAGGCGAACAAGAATACGAAGACAGTAGGACGAGTACGAACACGATCACGAATACGAAGACCACGATGGACGAGGCTTAATACGAATACGAAAGGAGTAATAAGAACACGATCGCATATACGAATACGAACATGAATGCGAAAAGTAATACGAACAGCAGTAACACGCAGACGAATTGGAAAACGAAGATGAATAAGAAAACGATAACGAAGACGAATACATTTACGAAAGTGAAGACGGATATGAAAACGAATCCAAAGACACAGATGTGTAGTTGTCGCATACAAAGTCAAATACGAAGACGAATATGCAGACTTATAGCGTTTTCTTTTCTCGAAAAAGCTGCACTTATTCTACCTTGTGTTAGGGCTGTCACATTTTCATGTTCTTTTCTCAGCCCATTCACAAGGCGTCGTGTTCTTTTCTCTGCAGATTGCGCTCTAACCCGGCAAAAGTGCCGCCTTTTCTGTCAGTCTTTTCTATCAGAAATAAGTGTTTTGCTTTAAAATTGTTAAAGACTTACAGGCCAAGTGAATAATGCAGCTTTGTTAAGTTCTATAAATAAATTGTGTTGGAGCAGTATATTTTCTGTTTCATACTCATATAAAGAATGCAACAGTTTCTCAGGTTTCAGGGCAATGCAAAGCAAGAGTTCCCATATAAAAAGGCAGAACTTTGTTAGAGAAAAGAAAACGCTATTAGACTAGGGATAGGGTATGTATGACAAATTGCTGCAATATGCAAGCTTCAGACTTTGGTTATTTATCAGGTAACACCGTGCGACAGTAGATTTTCCACACACAAAAATTAATATATCCGCGAAACTATGGGTAAATTATAGTAAAACTGCGTACTTAGTCTTTCTCTCTGACGTCAGGATTTTTTAAAGGACTTTGATATTTAAAACTGATTTAGGGTATTCACAGTTTACTTTTAAACCTAAAAGGTGGCAACTTTAAGAAGATAACACAGTCGAACTGTAAGCAACCCTTCACACATCGCATAGTGTATAAGATTTCATATTTTTCCTCCCTTTTTTATTTGAAGTTTGTGGTGCGTAGTTAAGCCAAAAAACAGTTAGGGCAGGTTTCTCCAACTCAACTTAACTTAAGTAGTTTAGCCAATTTTTTAGACTTGGTCCAGTATAAGCAGTGTAAAAGTAGGCTAGCTTTTGACTTAGGTCCAAAAATGGCTAAACTAAATTAAGTTGAGTTGGAGAAACCAGCCCTTAATGATCTTATTAAAAAAATAAAATAAAAATTAATGTTAGATGATTTTCATGTTTTTTATAATACAGCCATCGATCAAAACAGTCGCATGTACCTTGGCGGTGTTAAAAGTGTTCAAATTTGCAACTCACCTCTTAACAAATTTGCGTAATACATCCACATCGCTTAAACTCTCCACGGGTATTGTTGGCAATTTACCACTCGAGGCTGCTGCAGCCGCTGCCGCAGAAGCTGTTGTTGGTGACGATTGTCCAGCGCGTTTGGTTGGCGATAACTGTTCAATGCGTTGTTCTCTTTGTTGTTGCTGTATTATCTCGAAAGGTGTTACTGCATAGGCGTAGAATTGGTTCGTGCGTAGCAACGCGATGCCAATAGCCACCAAAATATGCTGAAAAGTTCGTAAAAGCAAAAAAAACCCAAAGCATAAATGTAAAATAACAGCCTGTACTTTTGCCAGTTTCACTAACTTACCATCGGCACTTGTACGCCATTCGCACCACCGCTATATTTTTCAAACTCAGCTTGGGCGCCAGTCCACGCTCCACCGCCACTCGTACCTGTACCGCCCGTCGCCATGCTGCTGCCGGCACCACCGCTTAACGCGCCGCCTGCAGTGCCAAGCGCGCCGTTTTTGTCTGTACCACCAGTAAGGTAGGCAGCTGAGATACATTCTCCGCTACTAGTTGACTCATCGGTGCGCACCTCGATTAATTTTGCAATGAAAATCGCCTGTGGGGCGTAGGCTTGCAACAGCCTTCCAACAGCAACTTCATTCGCTTCAATTTCGTTGTTAGCCTGCAAAGTGCCTTCCAACTCGTCTACCGCAGCTGCTACGCCCAATGTATTGAAGATATCTTGCGTTTCGACGGCACGGTGCTCTTCGCCATCGCTGCCTCCTTTGCCGCCTACAGCTGCCGCCTGTTGCTTGTAATGCTTGTAGAAGATTGTGTGTTGCAGCGTCTGCCTGGCAGCCAGCACCAAGACGTCCAATGTACGGCATAGCAACAAATTGCGTTGTTGAGGCGATAATAGGCCACCAGCAAAGCCAGAGTTTTGTGCTGGCATTGTTGTTGCTGCGGATGCGGCAGTTGACTTTTCCATTTGATTAAGTTCCATCCATATGAAGCGCTGTTGTAGCATTGCTGCAATGCACTGCAGCAAGGTAACTGCATTTTGTTGTTCACTGTGGTGGTGGTGCTGATGCTGCTGTTGTTTCAGCAGTTGCTGCGCTTGCCTGCAACACCAATCTAAGAAGCGTAACAGAGTTGCCACATGTTCTGGGCGCAAGAGCTGGTCGCGTACAAACTTATCGATGAATTTCGACTCTATGTAAAGCAGCGCGGTATCCTCTATCAGCTTTATTTGCGTCAGTAGCGTAATAACAGCGTGGCATAGGTGAAGTCCACCAATGCTTGCCGTGCGCCACTCGGTTTCGATTGTCGGCCCCTCCAACGAAGCAGTTGTGCTCGCGGGTATAACAATCGTAGGCACCATTAGTGTTGCTTGTAGTTTATCTCGGCTGTCTGCGGCAATTTCCGCGCTAATGCTTGCCATCAAGATGTTGCAGGTAACGCGCACTAATGGATTCGGTTGCATGTAGTGAATGTGCGGATTATGTTGGGTGCAATTGTTGCGGAAGGCAGCCAACATCGCCTGCATTGAGCTGGCGATTGCATGCCGCAGCACACGCGCCACTGCGAACTCGCTGCTGTTGAATATCGTGTAGAGCTTTTGCTCGGAATGTATTTCCAGCAAAATGCGCGAAAGTTGTTGGGCGCCATAGTCTGATTGTGCGGAGAATTTAATTAACTGTAAATAGGCAGTTAAAAGAGAAAACAAAAGGAAAGTGAAACCGTGAGTGCACCGAAGAATCGAAAGAAGGAAAGTCAAGACAAAAGAGGTAACAAGTGTAGAAATTGAAAACACAATAATTCTGCATTGCTGTTAAAAAGCGGAAAAATTTTGCGACAGCGATGAACGGGGGTGATGACCAGTATGCTATGCAATAGGCGACGTCCTTTCCTTTTTACATTTTGTTCTTGAAATTCGACGCATTTTTTGCAGAATTTCATATAGCTTCCGAGTATGTAATTGGACCTTTTCGAGGACCATATTTCGTAATTGACCGAAGCATTTTACCGAGGAGAAAAGTGAAGATTATCCCCATTAACTTCGAGGCAGTTTGGGAGCCATCAGTGAAGATTGGACAATGTGTGAGTCCGGGCTCCGTGCCGGTATTAAACCAGCATTCATCCTTAGGGAACTCAACATTATATATAGAAAGTCTTCAACAAAAGTAATGATGACGGCATACCATCTTGTGCCATTAAAACGACACAGGTGCTCAGATCTGCAAATTTCGCCCCGTTCCACTAAGTGTTATACCAACATCCGTTGGTTTTCAGTCTGCAGGTGGCCTTTACATACATATAAAGACACAAAGTGACGGTAAGTGCTCTACAACTTAACGCAGTTTGTTTCGGGACATGTCCTCTATCGAGAGTATCTAAACAGATTTGCGCATGGTGATTCCCCCTACTACCCAGCTTGCACAGATCTTATGGAAAACGCGAAACAAGTAGTATTCTTTTGTCCTCGCTAAGCCCCAGAAACCAGAAATAAACTGCAGGGAAGCAACGTTATAGACTAAATGTTGATATCATAGAACTGGCATGAAACATGCGCACATATCACTCGAATTCTTAAACATTTAAGACTATCTCAACAATGTAGAACCAGATAAATAAGGTAGCAAGCAAATTGGCCAATCCGCCCCATGAGATAATACCCTGACTGGCAGGGCCGCTGGAGTGATTTTTGGATAGATTTTAGTACACAGGTGCAGCGTCGTGAATACTACTATGCCAGTATAGTAGTCAGGGTTGCCACTAGAAAGAAAAATTTCCGCCCAAAGTTCCGACCAAAACCAATGGCAACTGCCGAACTGAACTGAAGAATACAAGCTTCTCTTTTAATTAGTTTGAAAAATCTCATTAGTAAAAATTCACATTTTATAATCCTTTCAGTAACTGTAATAATACACGCATGGTGCGCGGCTATTTAGTGAATTTGTGTAGTCATGTGTCCAAAACTTCGACTTTGATATACTTTCGCCAATTAAGTTCNAATGGCAACTGCCGAACTGAACTGAAGAATACAAGCTTCTCTTTTAATTAATTTGAAAAATCTCATTAGTAAAAATTCACATTTTATAATCCTTTCAGTAACTGTAATAATACACGCATGGTGGGCGGCTATTTAGTTAATTTGTGTAGTCATGTGTCCAAAACTTCGACTTTGATATACTTTCGCCAATTAAGTTGTTCGATTTCCTATTAATTTCGGGAATTGTAACGATTTGACAGCTCATCGTTGTTTAAGCGAAGTGTTAAGGCGAATTAAGTGATTCGGTACAGCATTACCAATGAAGCTGTAGTGGGAATACCGTATTTGAAAACTGTATATATCGTGTTTGCGCTGCTTCATAAGCATTATATTAGATTTACACAAGGGGAAAGTAAATATGTATGTATAAAGGTACAGAGTGTTCGTTTTTTATTATACATTTACAGTCATGTGAAAATTAATAGGGACACAACATTGGGACCACTTTTAGATATTTTTCTTTTGTTTATTTAATGTTTATTACCTTTTTATAAAAATACAGCTCATTATCTAACGAAAACCTATAAGCTCAAATTTTAAACTTCGTAGAAAAATTAGAAAAAATCAACAAAACTTTTGTTAAGAGTTTTTAGAAAAATTCGAAGTATGCATTTTTATAGACAATTAAATTCTTTTTTTTTTTGTTTTGATTTTTGATAATTTTTTTTTGTGGATATTTTTTTCTTCCATACAAAAACAAAATGTTCCATACTATGATGGAAGAAAATTCGGTACTAANTTTTTTTTTTTGGATTTTTGATAATTTTTTTTTGTGGATATTTTTTTCTTCCATACAAAAACAAAATGTTCCATACTATGATGGAAGAAAATTCGGTACTCATATAAATTAATAACAAAAACGACCAAAATTTGTTTTAACCGTCCAACCGACCAAAGTAAACCGACCAATTTTAGACGGAAAAGACCATATCTGGCAACACTGATAGTAATACTCGTGAGAGTTTCCTCTTCATGGACATCATCCCACAAAAAAGAAACACGGCCTTTTTATATATAAGAAGATGTAAAAACATTGCCCAAATACATAATCATTTTGTGTAAATAAATGTTTGATAAAGTTTTTGCAAAAAAAAAATATGGGAATATGGGCAACATCACGTGTCTATGGTGTGGCCTAAGTGTGGGGAGAGTCTACTATCCAACCATTCCAACCTACCCGCCAATTTAATTCGGATTTCCCGAACAATTTAGCGTGTTGTACTTAAAAATCAATCATGTAAGTAAAAACAAAACCTTGTAGCGTACTCTATTACCGAGAATGACGAAGAGAATTCCAATTTATAATATCAAATCAGCATAAATTAGTTTTAGCAAACTTTAGTAAAATGTATTTCATAGTGAAAAATTTATTAAATACTTTAGTATTTTCTGCTCTAAATTTTATAAAATAAACAAACGAATTATAATTTGATTTCGAATGAACAGAGCAATTATGCGAGAATATATATTTTTTTTTTTTTTGGTTTTTTTTTAGCACTTGAGTTGGAATTGTACTCTTTAAATGCAAAAACATGAAATTATTTGCATCAAATATTGAATCAGCAATTTGGTTAAGCACTTTGATAATTGCATTCAGTTGCAGGCATGCCGACTATTTCGCTTAGGTTTAATAAAAAATCTAGTTGGGTTAATTGAAAAACTAAAAACAATCACAACAAAAATATTCGAAACATGATTGCTCGCAACTAAAAGTAAGCAAATAGCCTCAACAGAAAGCAGGAATCAAGGGCTATTAAAAAATCTGCGCAGCATAATCAATCAAATAATTGGCAAATAACAGTGGATGCTGCACAAATGAAATACAATACACGGCAAAAGTAAAATGGATGCACTTCAGAAAATCGCTCAAAACTCGAGAAAACTGTAATGCAACTAATAGTGAGCAATTACCGTGGAAAAAAAAAATTAAATGAACACAACAGTGGATACGAACACGCCAAGTGAATGATTTCAACTCATCAGTGCTTGAGGAAGACAAAAGTATCGTACCGTTGAATGTATGTATGTATGTAAGAAAGAAGGCAACAAAGCGGCGGTGAACAAGTACTGCATAGCGCTCGAGTACGCCAAAGATAGACTCACCTGACTCAATAGCCACTTCTCGTCGATAATGCGCTGCTGTTGCCTTTGCTGCTCTGCTACGGTCTGAGCATCCAGTTTGCATTCTTGAGTATCCTCCAACAACAACTGCTGCCAGCTGCTCAGTATCATTCGACAACAAGTGCAGGGAAAGTACATGCAACAGATGATTAAGCCAAAAGAGAATATAGAAAAATATTAAGAAATAATAAATAAGAAAATCATGAAATTCTAAGTATTGACTAATGGTTGCAAGTATTGTGTACTTCAATATAGACTACACTGGGGCAAGAACTTACAACAAAGTTGATGAGCTTTCCGCTTCTGTTGCCAGCTGATCCCCAGCTAATTCCGACAAGTGCTTCAGCAGCTGCTGCCTTGAGTTGAGAGGCGACGACGAGCTGCAATTAAACACAAGTCGCCGCGCCAGCCGCTCCAACCGCACCTGCAACGCGCGCAAATCGCCGTGGCGTGTGTGTAGACAACGCAGCAGCTGCAAGCTAAGTAGCGTTAATTCCAGATTGCAACCCCTTGTGGCGCCCGCACTAACTGTTGCATTGGCTAAGCGCAGCAGCAAAGGTGGAAGTGCGCGTATTGTATGCTGCGAAACAAAAATAAATCAAGAAAAAATATATAAAAAAGAGAAAAACGACAACAATAGCGCGCAATATAAATTCTAAAATACCAACATTTAATAAATTANTATTGTATGCTGCGAAACAAAAATAAATCAAGAAAAAATATATAAAAAAGTATGAGAGAAAAACGACAACAATAGCGCGCAATATAAATTCTAAAATACCAACATTTAATAAATTTAAAAAAAAAATCGTAATAAACCGTTAAGTAGCACTACTACACAAACCTTGTTGAGCGCATTCGCATGTTGCAGCAACGCATTCAACCAGAAGGCACCCAACTTGCCAGCTACTTTCTCTGGTGCCTGTGTGGACGAAGACGCGCCTGCCTCTGTTGCTGCCACTTCGCACAAATCGCTGACGAACTCGAAATTTTCTGTAATTAGGAAATTCACAACTTCAGCTCCGCCTGCATCCAACAGTTGCCGCACTTGTTGCGTCGTCCAGTCGCGTGCATTCGGCTATTCAGTAGCGAGGGGAGAGCGTAAAGAGAGGGGGGAGTGGTGAGTTGAAAATAATTATTAGACCATAAATTGAATGAGAAGGCGAAAAAAAATCGTATGCGCAAATTAGTGTACGAATGCAAATATCTTTTGCGTGGCGAGTGCACTAATTGGAGCAGAATGAGCTTGAGGAAATTAAAAGCTAAAATTCGCGTTGGATTACAATATACACGCGAGAACATGGCGCTGAGTCGTCAGCAAATTTTTGCAAATTTTCGCTGCCTAAGCACGGCGCGAGATCGCGTATCACATGCCGCACCCACCTTGGAAAGTAATGCAGTAAATGAGCGCGCCGGACCGTGCAGAAGTAGTGATTCACATAGTCGCCCTCGTAGACGATGATTGCCTCATAAAGCATTTAAAGTGTAGTTTTTGGACTTAATTAAAATAGTTTTCTATGTGACTGCATAGAAGTCACGACTATTAAATGGTTTGAAGTGCAGCATTTTTACACACACACATTTGCATTTGTAAGGTATTTTTCCCACTTTTTGACCTTTACGAGTAGTATATTATTAAAAACAGACGGATTTCGTAAATTAAAAAATGTTTCAAACCTTCGATTTGATTCTAATTTTGTCAAAAGGTTACNTTTTCTATGTGACTGCATAGAAGTCACGACTATTAAATGGTTTGAAGTGCGGCATTTTTACACACACACATTTGCATATGTAAGGTATTTTTCCCACTTTTTAACCTTTACGAGTAGTATATTATTAAAAACAGACGGATTTCGTAAATTAAAAACTGTTTCAAACCTTCGATTTGATTCTAATTTTGTCAAAAGGTTGTTTACAAGAGATAAGCCCACGTCTTCTTCAGGGATAGTACCTCGATTTAGAGATAAACTTGACTTGCATGGAAAATAAACATCGAGAAGTAGCATGATCGACACATATTAGGGCGGGCCACATAAAAAAAAATTTAAATTTTTCCTATTGCGCCCTCTGGCGGATGTTTTAGGAAAAAGATAAGTCCAGAAACGGATTATTCATACCAAAAACCTTTTGTACCATGTTGTACAAAATTTCTTCTTTGCGACACTACAGCAAAATGCTGAGTAAAAGAAACCTATTTTCGCAATTTGGCAAACTCCAAGCTGCTTTTAGATCCATGGTTTTTTCGGCAAATTTGCTTAAAATTACTCGCAGAATTCTCCTGTGCTCTACGCGCAAAATCGAAAAAATCTCCCACAAAATTGACCCGCCCTAACATACATATATATTTATGTGTTTAAATTAAAAGTTTATTGCCTAAACCATCAACAATCTGGTTATAATAGTCACAATTGTGTAAATGGTTAACCCAATGGTGGACAGAGGAACTAATTTATCTCTTAATTTCCTTTCCACGACCAGACCATGACGTCATATCATCGGTGCCATCGTCGTACGCGATGCAGCCTCTTACCGCTTCAAATGGGCGCAAATAACAAGCAAAAGCCACAAAATTACAACTTTTACGCCCAGAAGTGTTTAAAACTTATTTGAATCAGTTATTCCTCGCTGAGTCATGAGCCTACAAGAAGACTTATTCGCAAGTGCATATGTGCATACTTTGAAACTCCTGCCCACTCATGACAAAGTCAAGCGTTCGCGTTAGGGGGAGAGCAGCACACTTTCGAAAATGCAAATTAATTTAATGGTCTACATACATATATTAGAATCCTTACACACCCGCACAGTAGAGCTTACTTATCATCCAACCTCCCACTTGCTCATACTCAGCGCAACATTCCCGCCCACTTACACACTGACGACAGTTGTCATCGGTCCCAACTTGCCACTTACATTTTGCTGGCAAATTTCACTCAGAAGTGTCCTCTGCATGTTGGCGCACCACTTCAGTCGCTCTTTATTTGTTGCCGCCGCATACCTTCTCTGCTGTTCTTGGTTTACGTTTTGCATTTGTTGTTTTAGCAGTTGCAACATCACCACCGGATCTAACAATTTCATGGCCGACAAAAGTTTCAAGACTAGCAACTGCAGCTGCATAGCCTGTTCTCCACTACCACCACCCATAACACACGCCTGCCCTGTCGTAGTTGTGTTGTCCGCGTGCCGCACTTCGTCGCCCCTTTGCCACGGCTCTACAGTTAGGAAATTACAGTACTTATCGAGCAGTGCCGATTCGGCCAGCACCAAACGAAAAACTGATTGTAGCGCATCCTTGTGGCGAGAACGGCAGCAGACGTCATACAAAGCTTCCACGAAACGGCTAGCCAGCTGATAGTAGGCCACATCGCCGCAGGCGCTAGTGATGATGTTGGTGGTGGTGTTGCAGCTGGTAGAAGTGGTGGGCGCAGAAACGACGTTGAGGCAATTTTCTAGCTTCTCGCATAAAACTTTTGCGAAATAGTTAATTTCACTTATGCTGCCACTCGACGCTTGGCCGGAGCTTGAGGCTGCGGCTGTGGCTGTGGCGGTTGCACGCGCCGCTGCCGAAGATGTCGATGGGCCGTCTACCAGCCAATGTGCGGTACGTTGTTGCTGTTGCTGCTGTCGTTGCAGTTGTTGCTGTTGGACTCTGTTGAGTTCACGCTCCTCCACCGCCGGATGGTTTTTCAAATAAAGTTTGATGTGATTTACTAAATAAATTTCCTCAGTTTTAAGAATTACATTTGCTAGGATGATCGTTGCATGCGCCAAAGCGGAAAAGTTCTCCACGTCCTTTTTTAGCGTTTGTGTGTGTGTGTGTGTGCGTGTGTGTGTGTGAGCATTTGTTTGAGTGGCCAGTTTAGGCAAATTTATAAAGTTGTTGTCATCGTTATTGTTGGCGTAGTTTATTTGTTTGTTGCAGTTAGTACCGTAGCAGTTGTTGATTGTTGATGTTGATTGCATTGTGTGATTGTGTGCGTGCATGTAATGAAGAGGAGAAAGAGTAAAATATATACAGTAGTAAGTTTTTATTACTTTGCAAAAATTCATTTATAAGATGCATACACATACATATGGGCGTAGCCAGGTAGGGGAAGGGGGATAGAGCCCCCCTAACTTCCAAGTTTTTCTTAAATATACAAAAGTATGATCCTGAAATGCTAGCTTAATAATTTTTATTTTTTGCTTAAAAATTACTTTTTTATACCCGAGCGCACTTGTGCACAAGGGTGTATTAATTTTGTTCACATAACGGTTGTTTGTAACAGGCAAAAGAGTCGAGATAGATATAGACAAATGTATACATAAATGATCAGAAAGAAAAAAAGGAATCGATTAAGCGGTGACTGTCTGTGCGTCCGTCCGTCCGTCCAAACGAAACTTGGTATGTGTACTTCTTTTCAGCATAGAACGGATGGTATTGAAAATGGGCTAAATCGGACGATAACCACGCCTACCTTCCATATAACGGTAGTTAACCTATGTACGAAAACTGCGATATTTTACTAACTACTGAAGCGTTTTCACTCTAAATTGATATTTACCAAAATTTTTTGACGAAAAATAAAAATATTATAAATTTTAGGAAAATAGGCGTGACCCCGCCCACTTATGACCAAATATGTGTATCTCGGTAACCGTTCGATCAATTTGTACCAATCTCGGAGCTTGCCACATAAAGGTAAAACGTTGAAAATTATTGAAATCAGACTAAAATTACGTCCACTTTTCTGTAACGGTAAATTTCAGAAATGCTTGAAACTTTGATATTTCGAAATTAAAGGATGGTAATTTACCTAAAATTTATACTAAGAGCAATCCATTGAAAATAAGAAGTATGGAAGAAGAAGTATTGGAAAATGGACGTGATTCCGCCCACATAAATCTATCTAAGCTTATCTCATTATATCCAACTGAATGTTCTATCGAAGATGTTTGAAATAGACATAAAACCATATCAGCACATCGAATCCGTCATCAACGACTGGGTGCACGGGTCCGTCTTCTCGACTACTTTCAGTGCAGCTGTCATTCAAAAGGGTGGACAAGTGTTCTCTCGATAATTAAATACGTTCTGGACATCGGTGACTAGGTCGCCATGGTTGTTCTTACAAGAGTTTGTCCTGGTCTTGGAAGAGGAGAGAGCAGGTCACCTAAAACCTCTTTTCGACTACGGGTCTTCTTTGATCCACGTACTACTAGAACCACGCGAAGTCCTTTCTGAGTGCCATTTAGGACGCGTGCTTCTAGGTGTGGTGATCCTAGGAATCGAAGTCTGGTCTTAGTAAGCGCTTCACAGTGGAACCAAATGTGCTCTACTGTGACAACTCTTATGTTTAACAAGTGTTTCAGTACTCTACGGTGGCCAGTAAGAAGTCCTGTAACATTGCTTGCTTCATGCCTACTGAGGTGATGGAGTTCTACGGTTGTATGCGGCGATGAGCTCCGCTCTTCTCTCCGAGTGTATGTAAATATGTATTTTGGTTGCCCCCACTTTCTACATACTTTTTACTTCAGACGTAGTTTATTGGCCTACACTTCGGCCTGAAAGACAGAGTTAGCTTGCCCCATGTTGGTGAAAAGCAGCCGTCTGGGTTGTATGCCGTAAACTCCTGCTCCGAAGCCGTGGACAGTCTTGTAGCTGTCAGTATACCAGACGACCTCGCTCTTCTTATCGCGGCTAATAAGTTTCGCTTCCCCCTTCGATCCCTATAACGGCTCCGAATAGCTCGCGTTGCGCCCTATCTCTGCAACTTCTTGACACTCCTCATCGTACCAGTAGTTCTGTTTAACGGGCATTTCCGACCCGATAAGCTTGCAAAGGAAACCATCACTTTTATATCCGAGTTGGGTAAAATTATTGAACAAAACAACGTTCAACCGAAACTAGACCAGATAAATAGTTAGCTTACTTAATAGTACTCGTATGTAGCTGAACCTTTTCTATTCTTATGACTGAAGACCGTAAAAAAGAATTCGCATAAGATGCTGAAGCTAAATACGAAATTGACCTATGAAATGATTTTAAGATTAGATGAAATGTTGGAATATATGTTTCGGTTACAATGAAGTTCACATTGAAGGGCATAAGTAATCTTAAGAAGTAATTAAATCGTGTCCTTGACATGAAAAATAAAATTTCTTTTTATTATAATGAAAATTACGGGTATCGGGCACGAAAAATGCTGTCTAACCCATTTTTACTAAATCCAAATACTAGTTGCCTTTTGTCCTGTCCTGTTGTTTGTTAATGTGTCGTTTTAGGATAACCTTTCCAGCACACTTTTACACATACATATTAACAGTGTTTCAGCTGAAGCGTGCGATTATTAAACTGTGCAACTCTGTTAAAGCTTTGCTAAGCTATCGATTTGTTTCGCAAAAAAAAACACAGAAAAACAAAACAGCTTTAAACATTTTAATAAAAGATTCACGCTGGCTACTCCGCATTTCCGCAGAGCTCGTTGATGCCACAGAATGAACTCGCTATTTTACGGTTTCACAAGCATTTGGATCTGATATGTTGCATGCTACATTTTGCACGCTGGTTGTTGCTGCAAACAGCACTAAGCTCAACATAAGCCGCAAACCAGTGCGAGCAAACAATTTCGCTAATGGAAAAAGAGTGGTAGCGGTAGTGGGATGGGAAGTTGATGTCGATGCGGCAAATTTCGCACACATACGCACATTTAAAAGCACAAAGTTAAACAACATCCACACTCAATTTAGTACTAAAACTAGAGGAAAAAAAAACATCATGGCACTCACTCGCTGCCTTCCGCTACAGCATCTTTGCAGTGAACCGATTCAACAGCATTCTCTATGAAAATTTCGCATCGCAATGATTTCTTTATGTGCAACAAGAACGAAAAATTAACATTTCTTATAAATTCCTAAGCCAAATGGCAATACTTAGTCGCTAACATAACAATAGTTGCCGAAAAGTGAATCAACAACAACGAAGTAAAGAGGAGTAAAATTCATTTAGCCGTGGGCAATTCCCTCAACGTCAAATTAGAATACAATTAAACTTTCATAACTAGAATGGCTATTTAAAAAAAAAAAGAGTTCAAACCATCGAGACTTCAAGTTATAAAATAACTTAAGCCACACCAGGGATGTTCCGATACCGGTACTTAAAGGTATATACTCGAGTACCTCTACCAAGTACTTAGTACTTTTTGTACTTCACAACGTGTGTACAAGTACTTGGTGGTCATGAACGTAAACTGTTGGTGAAAATGTTGGACCGAAATGTTTCAATTCAAAAAATTTATTTTGAGCGAGTCGAAGTTCGCCGGGTCTGTTTTATGCTAAGAATATGAATAAGAGCTTATCCATGCGTAAGCTCTTCGCAGAAACAAATGTCAAAAATACAGTCTTTAAAATAATATGTTGGTTTGACGTTTTTTAATTCCATATTGATAGTAAAGAGCTCCATGATTAAAAATTTTAGAATAAAATTAAACATCAGATCTGAAAGATTTCTTCTATTTTAAAAAATGAAGTGTTAGATTAAAAAGCTTAACCTGTAGAAAATAGAGTTTTATTTTTTTTTTAAGATTTGCCACCTATTACAAAATTAAATTAAAATTTTTCAATAAACTAAATGAATTATCAATCGAAATGTGTGCGAAAAGGGTTTATTTCTTGAGTACATGCAGAGGGCTGCCACCTGTTAAAAAGATCAAATTTCATTGGAATTAAAGAAATTAGGTTATTGAAATAGATAGGTATCATCATATTAGAGTCAAAAGAAAGTGGTTTAAGAAAGTTTTAGCTTGAAAGTATTACGAAGAGGGTTGCCACCTGTTTGAAAAGTCAAATTTAGTTAAACTAAAATAATAATTGTGTCAAGCCAAAGGTTTAAGGCATCGTATTTGTTACAAATACATACATTTTCAATCATTGATTTGTTCTGATTGCATTCCTTTTAAATTACTGGACTCTTAAATTAACCCAGGTATGTTTTTACTCTTCACTTATTTCTTGATTAATATATCCAGTTTTTTCTTTTTTCTTATACCCATATTGATATACGTATTTCAATTACCTTGTTCCCTTAATTAAAGTGAATTTGATTTTTAAAACACTCGGCAACCCTTCTATGTGTCATCTAAAATAAAGCAATTTCAAAACCATTTCAATTGATACCCATATTGTAATATCTAGTTCATTAACAAGTTAAATAGTTTTTATACAAATTTTTAACAGGTGGCAAGCCACCAAAAAAAATTTCATCTTCAAACTGTATTTACAGTGAAAGTTATCCAAACACAAATTGCATTTTTGAATTTTACTAAGAAGCGAATTTTTATTTAGTAGTTTAGTCGGAGTACTTTTGAGTACAAGTACAATCGATTATTTTCTAGCGATACTTTTAGTAGCGTTTCTGTTACAAAAAATTTAAGTTTTGAGAAGTTTAGTTTTAATAACAAAATCACTTTTATTTCAACATAGGTTGATTAAAAGAAAAATATTGATAAAAATAAAATATCTCACACAAATAGGGTTGAAATTTTGAAATTCCTGCCCGTATTTTGTTTGTAAGTCAAATATTAGTGGCATTGTGCTACTATTATAGTAATCATGGTCAACTTATGTATAGTAGTTGAAAAAATTATAGCCGCACCAAATTTTGGCAAGTTTTAAAATATTTTTTTTTTTTTTGTTATTTAATTTTGGTTTGTTTTTTTATAGGCCATTCTTTGACAACATCCGTATAAAAACAAATTGCAAGGCAGCGTCACACGATTGGGTATTTGTCGAAATTTAGTGCAAATCGTAACCCA